CTCGCGCCGACTCCACGTGCACCCAGGGTTTCCAAGGCTGTGACTCTCAGTGGCAGATTGCCAATCCTGTCTTCAGAGGCCCCTCTGGATAGGTTCAAACCTCCAATCTTTTGGTTAATAGTGTTTAACTGTTGGCCCTACTCAGGGTCTTCTCAAGGATATTCAAAAGTTCCCCACACTTAAAGGGGAGGAGATTATAGAAGGGCAAGTGTCATTTTCAGAATTCTACCTTCCACAACCTGAAATTCTTCTAAGTGTTCGGGATGTTTTGATTTGCCTTTTGGAGGATAATTCTTACTCATTTTTTTTTAATTTTTAAAGATAAAAATTAATGTAACATAAAGTTTGCCATCTTCAAATGTACAATTCAGTGGATTTTAATATGTTCACAATGTTACGCTGCTGTTACCACTGTTTTACTCCCAAACAATTTCATCATTTCAAAAGAAACCCCATACCGACTGATTATTATATTTTTATATAATTTTTATATTATTATAGTTAGGTGCCATTGAGTTGTGCCTAGACCTTATGTTTAACAGAGTAAAACACTGCTCAGCCCTGTGCCATCCTAGCGGTAATTGCTGGGCTTGAACCCATTGTTGTAGCCAGTGTGTCAGGAATTCTTCCCCACCATCCCCAGACAACTGCTAAGCTACTTTCTGTCTATGGATTGGCCTTTCGGTTTCAATTTTTTTAAATGTAAAATATCGATAAGATTTATTCTCATTAACAGTTTTCACTGAGAAAAGACTTTCTGCTATTAGGACAAGATAATTCCTTGATTGATTTTCAATAGCATGCCCATGAGCAATCCCTACCCCCTGCCATCAAGTTTATTCTAATTCACAATGATTCTATAGCACAAAGTAGAACTGACTGATAGGTTTCCAAGGCTGTAAATCTTTACCACCAGCAGGCTATCTTATCATGCAGTCACAGTTCCCCCATTTTTATTTTTACCTTGCCGAAGTTATTGTCATTGGGATACATTCTTTCCCAAGGAAAAATTTGGGGGAGGTAGGTATATAGCAAGCTTCATTGTTTAGAGCTTCTGCAATTGTGAGTTTTCATTGCGGCAGCTATTTATACCAAGAAGTATTCTCCCCAGTAAAATTTTCCAGGTGCCAATTTTGTCAAGAGGTTTTGATTCATTCTTTTAGTAATTTCACTGACCTCCCAAATTGGGGGGAAAAATATTTTATTACCTCCAAGCCCAATTACATGCTTTCTTTTTCTTCATAAAATGCATCATCACCTTACTTTATATTAATTAATTTATTGTCCTATCATCTGCCTTTCTCACCAGACTGTAAGCTCCATGAGGGCAGGGATTTCCCTTGCTTTCTTCTTGGTTGTGTCCTGAGCACTCAAAACAGTGCCTAGGACAAAGTAGGCCTCCAATAAATGGGATCGGTGAAGGAATGAATTAGGTTGATGTAAAAGAGCAAGGAGTCACATGGAGAGTGCCATATTTTACCCTTATCGACTTCACCAGGGGGAACTGCCCCGTCCACAAAATCAGTAACACACAAAGGAAAATTCGTACCTCTTTCTACTCATCTCAACACCAATTTTAGTGCTTTGGTGGGTCCAAAATCTGATGTGACAGTTCACAAGACCACACAAAACCATACTCAAGAAGTAAAAAAGTTATGATTCAGATTAATAACAAAATACAGTCAAGACAGCTCCTGAAATGTATGTCCAGCACCTCAGCCTCAAGTCTCGCAGCTCTAAGTATTCAGTCCTACCTATATTGGTTTCCCACCCACTATTGTCCAACAAAGTTCTCAGTCCTGCCAATATTTGATGTCTCCTCCCCTAGGGTCTCATCTCACATCATTATCTCATGTCAAGTCTCTAGTTTGGCCATGGCTGCTGCGGCTATCTCAAAGCATATCCTACATTTCACCTGGTTGGGCGTGGTCTCTCTTTTCTTCTGGCAGAGGGGAAGATGTATCTCTGCAGCTAGAACTCTTCAATTTGTTGGTGAGATTAGCCAATCCTCTTGTAGATTGTTGAGACCAGCCAATCTCCTTGTGGAATGGTAGCTAGCCAATCCTTTTGTGGATGGGCCAATATGCCTTACTCATATGGTCCCACCTTTTTACATAGTCAGCTATCCACACTAGAAAAGTCATATTGAGAGACAGACTCCACAGTAGAATTATCAATTATGAATGAATTGGGGAGCCCTCGTGGTGCTAATAAAAAAATTATATGGTTTGCTCTCACCAGTGACTCTGTGGAAAAGAAGACTGCAGCCCTAGAAATCTTTTTGTTGCTGTTATTATGTGCCATCAACTCAACTGTTGTAGTTAGATGCCATCGAGATGAGTACGGCTCATGGAGACCCCAACCAATCTGAACACTGTCCTATCCCGTACCATCCTTACAATCTCTGACACACTTAAGCCCATTGCCACAGTCATCATGTCAACCCAAGAATCTTGTTCTGTTCTGTGCCACCCTCAACAGCTCTGAAACATTGGAGCTGTGTATTACAGTCACTGTGTCAATCCATCTTGTTGTGGGTTTTCCTCTCTTACGCTGACCCTCCACCTTAGACAAGTGTGTGTTCTATCATAGAGAGCCACTGTGTATAGGAACCACCTGGATGGCATACAATAACATGAATGAATTATGACTTAAATAGGACACTGATAGCCTTCATTTATCTCTAAGTTCATGAGTAATATGATGAGCAATGTTGTTAAACAAAGGTTAGAGAAAGAATGAGAGTGAGAGTAAGAAAACTCTAGAAAAGGGATGCAGGACTTGAGAGCAGCTCAGGATCTGCATGGTGAGATCAAGTCCTCCCACTTCACATCGAGAATGAGCCAAGTTCCAAGGAACTTTTCAATTTGTCAGGGAGACAGGTAGTCAGCAGAGTTATTTCCATTTCACAGTTTGATTTGTTAATGCTGTAAAGTAGTAACTAATGTGTGGGTTAGGTGCAGCATGGCACATTGTCCTCCTGGAAATGGTACTGATGGTGTCAGGGATTGACCATCTTTTCCCACTCAGATATTTGGTGACATCTTCATATTTGAACACTAAGTGTTACTTTGTTCTTTTCTGGAAGTGCTTCGTATTCCATTGTATGGCCCGGATATGTTTAAAAGACCTCATTTTAACACTTACAGGGTAGTTTCTAGTATTCACTTCTAACACACTATGCTATGATCCATCCTGTTTTCTTCAGAAAATGAAGGTCTCAGGAGCAAGTAGCTCATCCTAGGGCCTACAGTGCATTGGCAACAGGACCAGGACCAGGTTGTAGTCCTCAGAATGAAAACCTGTGTGTATTCCATATCAGACAAAAGCAGAAGAGCTCAGCATGGTCCTTCTAGTTCTGGTGAGGGAAGAACCAGCATGAGAAGGTAGCAAATGACAAGAGGACAGATGGAGAGCAGGCAGATATTCCAGGCACAGGTACTGTGCCTAACACTTGGCTGCATGGTGAAGGGGTACTCGTCTGAAGGAAGGCCCCGGGCTTTCAGACTAAATGTTAGCAAAGCTAAGACTTTGCCTGGTGTTGGATTAGGACCTGAAGCTGTGGGTCTTCTGGCAGTGTATCTGCCATCATGTCATTTTCTCCTGCAGAAGGAGGAAGAGGAAGAAACCATACAGAATGAGAGAAAAGGTCCACAGTAGACTTCAGGAGACATAGGCCTAGGCCTGTCATTCCTGGAGATGCTGTAAAACAAGCCAGAACTGCCCCACGGTATTTTCATCCTTAGGGATGCAGACTGCCACATCTCTCTCAGAGCAGCTGAGGGGGTTCAAACTACTGATCTTGAGGTTAATAGCCAAATGTCAAATGAGACAATGTATGTGAAAAACCTTTGGAAACTGGAAGAAAATCAGTACATCATACCAATTCCCCTCTTCCTAGGTATTAATTTTGAGGATGCCATTACAAGTGCTGGATACTCCCCAGGACCACATCTTAAATATAAAGTATTGTTATTGGTGAACCACACTTCTCTGTTGTTCAGGATACATACTAAATACAAAACGTGGCGAGCTCTGGTGGCCTAGTGGCAAGAAGGTGTACTGCAATACCAGAGGTGGATGGTTCAAATCCACCAGATGCTCTGCTGGAGAAGGAGGAACAATCTCCTCCTGTACCAGTCAGATCTGATTTGACGGTACAC